CTTCTTATTCAAAGCTGTGTACGGTGTTACGTCATTAAATCATTTAAATGAGGAATCAACAGGAATAACCACATAACCCCCAATTTTCAAATTGTAATTTATCACTTTAAAATTTAAAATTTTTCCCAATTTTTTTCTACCACCTTTTGATAGAATTATAATGAATTAAAATCATTCATAAAATTGTTTCATAACTTAGAAAGAACGAAATTTTGCCATTTTCTGGCATTTTTTTTCCCATAATAGGGGCCCAAAAAGATGAATAAGAAAATTTGGGTTTCCCAGTAATTTGGGGGAAAAAATTTAAACCACCTTTAAAAAGAGATAACTACCTGTGTAGATCCTCGTACCATTTGGGGTTTAATTTACAACTCGCTTTTTTACTCTTTTAAAAACTACATCCAAATGGTACCATACATCCTATACTTTTTTAAAATTTGTAGACTTAGGGAACGGGTTTTTTAATTAAAAGCGACCGAAAATATTTAAACCAAGACTACCGCAAAGGCGGGGCAATATACTCCCGAAAGTAAATTTGTTTAAGTAATTAATTTACATAATCTCCGATGTTTGAAAATTGATTTATACGCATAATCATAAACATATATAATTTCATTTAAGTGTGGTATACAACCTCAATTACAACATACAGGATCTTTAAGGTTATGCTACATGCTTAACATCTAAATCCAAAATTAAAAACAAAACTGTTATTTTTTACATGCTTTTATCATTCAGTAAATATTACATGTATTATTTCCAGTAATTTTAAACACTCACTAAAATGTGCTGGTATATTTTTAAAGGCACATTTATCCATTTTTATTTTTCAAAAAAAAAAATTGGTGCCCTGTTTTAGTTTCCAAAAAGTTTCCCATTAGCCAAATATCTAAGCTACCTTTTTTGACAATAAGTACTGTTATTTGTCAAATTTTATTCAAATGAAATCAAAAATTACGTTTACATTTTTCCCTTTTTAACCCAAAATTTTCACATCAAAGCACTTTCAATAAAAAGTTCACAAGACAAACAATAAAAAATTTCATTTATGGTTCCTTTTTAAGAAAATGAATGAAAAGGGAAACCATAAAAGGGAGTATGAAAAAAGTACTTTTGAAAATTAAAACTTTCAGCAAAATGAAAAAAAAATATCTTAACCAGAGAAGATACACCAAAAAATTAACCTTTAAATTTTGGGAGACCATTAATTTTTCTATGCATAACAATTAAAGGTAACGTATTTTTGAATAATCTAAATTAATCACTGATTATATGTAAGGAACTTAAAAGGAATTTTTTTCTTCTAACGATAAAATGGCATTTGATAAACTTAAAACAATTCCATTACAAAAACCAATTTTGAATAAAAGGGTACTTTAGTTTACCAATAACAGCTTAATTCGTTTGAAATTTTGAACACAATATAAATAAGAAAGCTTAGTAAAGAAACCGCCTAGTGGCCAAATAAAAAGGAAACTTGATAAACATCCGTTAAACCTTATTTCATCTATATATTATTTATAAGGGCGTCGTCCACGTGTCAATTCTTTATGTTCTTTTGAAATAAAAAAGCATATTCGCAATAAGGTACAGGAACTCCTTAATTGGACTACTGAATAGGAGAAATAAACGTATGAATTTGTGAATTCCTATTATATAGGCAACCCATATTGCATTTTTGGAATATGTACATATTGCGATACACTGGTTATGAAAACAAACAATAGAAAACTAAGGTTGTTGTTGCTGTTTTTTGGGGTTTTTTTTTGTTTTTTTAAGAATACAAAGTATTAACCCTTTCCCCCATGAGCATATTGTGAAAAATGGCCATTTTCACTGAAAAGCCTCCTGTTACAAGTTCAAACTGCTATGAAACTATGAAAAATGCTTCAATACTAATCAAACGTGGCACAAATGTTGACTGACCATTGCCTTTGAAACGACATGCTCAGTCTTAAATTTCGTGTTACCATGGCAACGAGGGGACATCTCAAAATTGCCAAACATCACTATTTTGCCTCGATTTTTTCCATCAAAATTTATTTCAAAGTGCTGCAACTTATCAAGGGAATGAGATAGAGTCCAAGGCTTTTCAGCGTTGGTTACACGTTACATTATGATCGACCTGGGGTCATTTTTAGCCTCTCACAAGTCCAAAATTTTCTTGGCGATGAGGGGGACTCCGCCCCCTTTCAAACCCCCCTAACAGAAGGGGGCACATCCCCTTCTGGCAACTCCCTGATGTATCTTTTGGATGGGGGCGGCGCCGAAAAAGTGCTCAATTTTTTTAGCAACATTTCCCAAACGAAAACATGTGTTTGTGGCCCAAATAGGACATTTTTTCACTATTTGAGGCCTAAAAAGGGGAGGGGGGTCGAAAGTGCGTTGTTTCGCGTATATATGAGGTAAAGGGTTAACAAAAAATGATGAAAAACTTTGGAATCACCTAAAAACTAGTTTTTCCATGTTAACATGTGGTCTTTCAACTAATTTTGGTGAAAAATTGTTGTTTTGTAACATTTATAATTTTTTTAGTTAACCCTTTCCCCCATGAGCATATTGTGAAAAATGGCCATTTTCACTGAAAAGCCTCCTCTTACAAGTTCAAACTGCTATGAAACTATGAAAAATGCTTCAATACTAATCAAACGTGGCACAAATGTTGACTGGACCATTGCCTTCGTAACGACATCCTCAGTCTTAAATTTCGTGTTACCATGGCAACGAGGGGACATCTCAAAATTGCCAAAAATCACTATTTTGCCTCGATTTTTTCCATCAAAATTTATTTCAAAGTGCTGCAACTTATCAAGGGAATGAGATAGAGTCAAAGGCTTTTCAGCGTTGGTTACACGTTACATTATGATCGACCTGGGGTCATTTTTAGCCTCTCACAAGTCCAAAATTTTCTTGGCGATGAGGGGGACTCCGCCCCCCTTCAAACCCCCCTAACAGCAGGGGGCACATCCCCCTTCTGGCAACCCCCTGATGTATCTTTTGGATGGGGGCGGCGCCGAAAAAGTGCTCAATCTTTTAAGCAACATTTCCCAAAATTAAAAAATGTGTTTGTGGCCCAAATAGGACATTTTTTTCACTATTTGAGGCCTAAAAAAGGGGGGGGGGTCGAAAGTGCGTTGTTTCGCGTATATATGAGGTAAAGGGTTAACAAAAAATGATGAAAAACTTTGGAATCACCTTAAAACTAGTTTTTCCATGTTAACATGTGGTCTTTCAACTAATTTTGGTGAAAAATTGTTGTTTTGTAACATTTATAATTTTTTTAGTTAACAAAAAATGATGAAAAACTTTGGCATCACCTAAAAACTAGTTTTTCCATGTTAACATGTGGTCTTTCAACTAATTTTGTTGAAAAATTGTTGTTTTGTAACATTTATAATTTTTTTAGTTAACCCTTTCCCCCATGAGCATATTGTGAAAAATGGCCATTTTCACTGAAAAGCCTCCTCTTACAAGTTCAAACTGCTATGAAACTATGAAAAATGCTTCAATACTAATCAAACGTGGCACAAATGTTGACTGGACCATTGCCTTCGTAACGACATGCTCAGTCTTAAATTTCGTGTTACCATGGCAACGAGGGGACATCTCAAAATTGCCAAAAATCACTATTTTGCCTCGATTTTTTCCATCAAAATTTATTTCAAAGTGCTGCAACTTATCAAGGGAATGAGATAGAGTCCAAGGCTTTTCAGCGTTGGTTACACGTTACATTATGATCGACCTGGGGTCATTTTTAGCCTCTCACAAGTCCAAAATTTTCTTGGCGATGAGGGGGACTCCGCCCCCTTCAAACCCCCCTAACAGAAGGGGGCACGTCCCCCTTCTGGCAACCCCCTGATGTATCTTTTGGATGGGGGCGGCGCCGAAAAAGTGCTCAATTTTTTTAGCAACATTTCCCAAACGAAAACATGTGTTTGTGGCCCAAATAGGACATTTTTTCACTATTTGAGGCCTAAAAAGGGGGGGGGGCAAAAATGACAAAACAAAACATTTATAAAGTGCAACATAATTCTTAAATACATCACAGCAAACAACAAGCTGGTTACAAAACAATGATAAGTCACTCTTGAATTCAACAAACAATTTTTCGTCTTTTTTACATATCGGTACTTATTCTTGCATAAAAAGCTGCAGGTATACATCAGAGGAGAAGAAGCATACACTAACAGATTAAATAACGAGAGCACAGCACGCTTTTGTTTGTTTTTTTTTTTTTTTTTTTTTTTTTTTTTTTTTGCATGTTTTGGGGTGTTTATACATGAGTAAAATAGCTTACTGCAAAGACGGCCCTGGTTGTATCACTAATAAAACCATAAATGTCAAATAATATCGCGCTAGCACAAAATTGTTTCTGAACATAAAAAACAGATAATGAAACGCGGAATTACCTAATTATATAAAATATATATGTACTCTTATGCAAGAATTGCGCTAATGCACCTGTTTTTTCGTGCATTAACATCACGTAAAGCACGCATAAAGGTGTGTTACTTCGCATCTGATAATAGAAATTATAAGAACTCTATAAACTATATACCACATACATGCAGCATATTGCTATATAAGTATTACATAGATATTAAGCAATAACATGAATGTCTACATAACTTTTATATAAAAAAATGTAAACTTCATACAAAATAAGAGAATTCCCATGTTAGTAGACAATCATATCTTTTGATTGAGGATTTAAATTCCAAACAAACCACTTTATCTATACTGTTTTTGTTCTTCCTTGTTGGTTTTATTACTTTAATTTAGTAGTGAAAAAAATAGTTAAAACATGTTAACACAGACTTTATAAATCTGACCGGCCAAAATGAAATGTTCAATGCTAATGATAGATCAAACAATTTCGTTCATAAAAACTGCTTTTCATTATTTCACACGCAGTACACATGCCAGCTCGGTAAAAGAAAAACACCAGATGCTATCATTCTTAAAAGTTTACTATTCCTACACACACCAACCTGTCAACGTTACTGTCGTTTTTTCTCGAGAATACGTTCACAGATAACAAGTGCTTCCACATGTAAAATTTCTAAGATTTTACATAGTGTGTTGTATACCTTTCCATAGGACTTATAAAACGCTAAAAGTGATGATCCAAAACACTCCAGCAAGAATCTTAAACATATTTGTTTAACGTCAAACTTGTCATCCGTTTCAGAAAATATTTTTATCATATTTTCCTGAAAGCTCAAATCAGTGAACGATATCATGGTTTTAATTTCTGTCATATCAACACCTAGAATATTACACATTTCGTCGAGTGACTTGTCATCAAGACCAAGTTCTTTTTTGTAAAAAGTTATTTCCCCAGTTATAACATCCGAGTCCATCAAATACCCTGCTCCTGGTGCAGCAGACGCAACTGCTTGCAATGCTACCATCTTCGCACGATTCTTTAAGAGTTTAATCTTCGCTTCGATGATCTCTTTAGTCATGTTTCTATAGCTGAAGATTAACAAAGATTTGAGGGCTTCTTCGGGTGCATTGTCGGCAATACTCCTCTGCAGTTTTCCGAGTTCAAAATCTTCGTGAACATGACTGTCAACTAGAAAAATATCGACGGCTTGCACATCCAACTTTTCTAGATTTAAAAGACAATCTTTGCGAATCTTGTCTATGACGTCATCTCTTGTTTGTGTTTTCTTCTTATTGTTCACATCAAATCCAATTTTTGATCTCACGAGAAAAAATGGCTTACTCAGACGTTGTAGCTCCTTAGCAATCATTGCATCGGTTTCCGTAAATCGAGTCGCACCTACGATTACAACAAAATTGTACTGATCAAACTTCATATCGTCTATGTAAGTCTCATTTGGGTGTAACGGCGTTCCGGCTCCAGGAATATCATACAGGACTATCTTTTCATTTGAAGGGAAAGGATATTCTTGCCTTTCAAAGGTTGTTTCAGTAGGTCCTTCCTCTGCTGCATTTTCGTCATCTTGATCTATACATCGCAAAGCATTGATCAAGCTAGATTTACCAGCGCCACTGCTTCCGGTAACTGCAATTGATATAATTTTACCCTTCCATCTATTCAGCTCATCCGTTACATACTCTTTCAGTCCTTCTAATCCTGTATGGTCATATACTTCACGCAACCTACTATCTAATTTTTTAGCATTCGATTTGTCTTCTTCAGTACTAAAATCTAGATAATCATCATCTTCCATTTTAGAATCCTTAATTCAGTCGTTGAAGAAAATAAATATGTATGAAATAAATATTTTTATCTTTTCAATTCTAATTCACTTGACAACAGCTACATACACAATGAAGTATTTCCGTAATTATATAAATTATTGAAGATTAAAGCCGTCAACTTGACAAAGATCAATACTGCAAGAGTTGAAATAAACTACGGAAACCCCGGAGGTACATTTTGCTTTTATACTTAAACGTACTTTTTACTTAATAAACTTATTAATCATAAATTGTTTTCAATTTATTACTAGTATTCATCACTTATATTTAATTACACAAACCATTTCTTTTCTTTTTGGATACTTAAAATTCGCTGTTTATACAAGATATATGTCATTACACAGAAGCTTTGAACGGTTGAGGTTCTTTTTATGATTAGCAAACTGACCGGGATCACTTAATGCAATGCAACTTTCAAAGACTCTTACTGAAAGACGATACGTAATGCATCGTAAAGGCCGTCGTTTCAGTATAACGTACCCTTGAAATATTTAAAAGTGTTCCTAGTGTCACAACTTTTTGTCGGATTTACAATAGAATTCATTGTACAGCTCGACATTTTTAAGAGGTTGCTATAAGCAGTGGCATAAATCAATAATAAAACAAGTTTAGTGTTGATGTTGCACATCAAAGACGCCGCTAAATGATGTAAACAGTCACAAGTAATGTACAAAATCAGAATTGAAAATCGTTCTCTATTACAGTTGAATATCCGAAGCACTAATTAATTTTTTCTCCAAAATAAATTGGATAACAAGTGAAAGTGAAATGATTGGTAAACTTAAAATAAATTCAAGACAATATGTGCCAAGAATAATGTCCATTTAGATATTGGTGCGAATTGCATAATGTTCGAATGATTTTGAAGACGAACTGTCTGTTATTTTACAAATAGCGAACATATGTCTTTAATACCAAATAAAAGTTATGAATTAATTGATATATATAATCAATTCTTTGTTAGGTATTGTTTACTTATTTATAAAAGATTAAACTACTTGAGTAAACAAAGAATCTAGGTATGGGACCACAAATTGTAATTAAAAATATAGGCAAAGAGAACAATCGTCGGTCACAGAATCCTTCGAAATAACATATTGCAAATATTTGTGATACATTTTAAAATAAAAGTACTTTTTTCACTCAGTTAATCTGTTTTATAACTTAAATGTTAATTGTTTGAGTGAATCATAATTATGTCGCACACGTTTTGCCTGTTTTGCAAATAATATTTCCTATGCGTCCGTAATGCCAAAATAATCTCCGTTGCGTATTTTATTGATACCTCTTGTTCAGTTCCCGTCATTAGACTATAGACGGGTCTGTTTTGAGCTAAGGGTTCAGGGAGAACCGCTTCTCTGATAGTGGGCATGGTTTAGGCTTTGTAACTTGTAATTCGTAAAGTTATATTGATCATGATTGTCCTTGTTTCCTCCCCCCACAACCCCCGTCAACGAAGACTAAATGTTAACATATTGAATTTGGCGACAATTTAAGGCGGAGACGAAATTCAACAGAGGCGGAGCATATGAAGTGAGTGAAACTGCTTCCATCGTTGCCTCCCTCAACGGTTAAGTTTTAGAACGATCGACTATAGACTGGCTCATTGGCACATTATTTATTAGGTAGATAAAATTATAGATACTTATGAAAAGAATATGATATTCAAACATGACACTATCACTTCAGTTAAACGTTTATTTTAAAACGTTAAAGCTCTGTGACATGTTGTACATCAGAAAAACAATGTGATTTGTTAAAACAAAAAAAATGCACAAAATCAAGTCTAAAATTTTCCCCATTGCCCTACGGACAAATGCATATCTACTAGACGCGTGCACGCGCCGTCTTATAATGGACAGTACAACTGTCTGATTGCATGTTAATATAGTTTACCAAGACTTAATATCGTGGAACCAAGCTAAAAAATGAATCATGAATAAAGATGTTGTCTCCGTCTAGAGGAGAACTCTTTTGCATTGGACAAACGCATCGGTGTAAAAGATGTTGCACTGTGGTTGTTGTTGTGAAAGGCTTTATAGTTGATCCTTTGTTTTTCTAGTTTTAATATCGTTAAATCGGGATATAATTATTATTATTATTATTATTATTATTATTATTATTATTATTATTATTATTACAGTCGTGTGAGTACAGTCGTGTGAGAATATGCATAAGAAATGTATAATTAGTAAAACATAATGACACATAAGAAATAATTGTCCTTACAGAGTTTCCGTAAATGTTTGTTGATTGGGTTTTACGTCACAGTCATATCTTTACTGAAAGGGAAGATCTAAGGTACCCTTTAGTAAATGATAACTTTAAATGGCAAAAGGAAAATACTTTATCTGTTATTAATTTATTGATCGTGTTCGGATCTCAAAAGAAGTTTGTGCATTTATAGTCAATGACACAAAAGAATTGAAAAAATAGGTTTTGATGAAAAGATAGCCGCCGTGCCAAACGAATTATCAAAACAGAAAACAAAGGTTGTAAGCATACTAATTGCCACATATACGACCCTGCTGGTTAAAGCAAAATATTTCAATAAAATCAAACTTGAGAAAAAATTACTAAGATTTTAGGAAAAGTAAAAAGATTCAAGATTCAAGTAATAATAATTATGTTACTTGCGATTAATGACAGATTTTTTCAGTATTTACACTAACGCAGTAACTTTACTTATACTAACGCAGTAACAGCTAATTTTGCATATATTGATCACTTTTTTATTATTTACGTGGGTTATCAGTGCCATTTATATCGTGTAAAATGATTCCTTTTGGTTATTTTACAATATTTTACAGTCAAATACATTTTCAAACTTTTCATGAAAATAAGCATGAATCTAGAAGCGTGCTGCTTTAAAGTACAATGTCATGACTAACAGTCGTTCGCGATTATTCATTTCTTTTATTTTGATTTACTATAGGATATTTGGTCCGTTTATCATTTTCTACCTCACTTACGTTCGTCCGAAATAAAACAATTATTTGCTATACTTGATAAGGAAAAACAAAGACAATATCGGGTTACAAAGCGGTTTGCTACTTTTTATTCTTTCAAAGTCGTCAAACATTTTCTCATAACAATACATGAGTAATTACGTATTTTATCATGTAATAAAGACAAAATATATCTCCAAAGACAAATATTCAATCAACATAATTATACTGTAACAGATACTTGAGCTGTTTGACAGTTTTGTTAACTGCGTACAATTCGTAGATTATTTTCTCATTCCTGCATTACTGGATATTCGTAGTGACAACGAGTACATCATATTTCTTAAAAAAAGATTAGTTCGTAAAGGGATCGGGACTCTGATAGCTGCGCATATTTCCGCAGGTTTTACGGTTTTTAAAATATTTCTTCTGTATCTAAATACCATATTTTTGTATTATCTGAATGTACGGCCTCTAAAATATAAAGTCAACACGGTATTACAAAATCCTTTTCTTTTTTCCAATATATATATATACCATATACCAGAACGGCAATATTTGCTGTATATTTTCAAAATATGTTTGTCTCTATCACTGTATAACTTTTATTCAGCTATCTTGGAAAATAGGAAATAGCGACACTTTTCCACGTATTTATTGAACAGCCCTCGTACAATCTTGGAAACTTATTTCTTCATTTAATAATCTTAATGTTCCTGAAACATTTTAGGTTTGCATGAAGAAAGTCTGATGAAAGTGCTTGGTGACAAAGAGCCAGAGGAAGGAGAAGATCATAGTGGAGCTAAACAATCAACCACAACAGAAACAGACATCATGGTTGGATTTGCTGAACACCTCCTTGGAAGGCTTGCTCCAGGGCAATCATATATTATTGATTCAAAAGAAAAGAAGGAAGGAAAATGCAAATGTGATGCAATGTGGAACCAAAATTTGGAAGTACAGGCATTGGTATGATTAAATAGTTTATTAGTTACATTTATTTAGTTATAATAAAAAACAAAGTAGCATATTTTTTTGCTCAGTACTTTCCAGCTCCACGGAAAAATTGAATCTACAATGTGTAAAGAAGCTTTCATTTAGGTATCTTGAAATTTTCTTTTGTAAGCTCTTTTTTAAAGAGACTCCACTGAGGTTTTTCGACATGATGGGACTGAAAATATTTTTTTCAGATAATTGTACCATTTGATGTAGGTTTAGACCACTAATCTTTGTGCAAAATTTCAGATCATTTGCGCACACCGTTTTTCCGAAATAATTATTCTAATTGTAAAAAACTGACCCAAACTGAAAAGCGTTTAAACGCTTTTCACTCAAATTAGGCTAAGAAAAGCATAAAAAATACGATTTTCAATTTATTTCAAAGTATATTTCTTAACTACCTTTGCATATATTACTGTTTAAAGTGCTCCAGCTCATTTATGTAAGAAATTCAAATGTTATGTTTCTAGACTTTTAAACCTCAGTGGAGTCCCTTTATTAAAATTAATGACATGGAGACATAACGGTGTCCACATGGCGATGCTACAGAGCTTCCACAGCATTTTAATTAGCGATTGTATTCAGATTGTACTTCTTCTGCATTCTTTGCACTTTTATGGCGCTCAAACTGCACTAAAATAAAAAACTCCATAAAAGCGCCCTGCACACGCAGTATAAGCGCGGTAGAGACGCCATACAAGCACAGTGGATAACCACAGTGTTCATTTGCCGCTCCTTTTGACTGCTTTCATGACGCTCCTGTTGCATTGTAGGAGATATTACAGCGTCCTTACTTTGATCCCACTGCACTCTTATCAGGATGCTGAGTGACAGCGATTGTTTTGAGCATGCACAAAATACATGCTATGTGATACCACTTTGATGCTGTGGCAATGTTTGTGATATTACTGTGCTCACCTCGGGGTTCTCAATTTTCTTTAGAAGCCGTGAGAACTCCACCCTAATGTGTCAGGGGTTTTAAGCTATTGCTATTATGTCTAATCATACTGATGTCAAATTAA